TTATTATTAAAAAAAAACTGTGCATTGACAATAATAGCTTTGATTGATTTTTTTCTTTTCTTTATTTTTTTTAGTAGGTGATGACTTTGACTGTGTCAACCTACAGCAAAGAAAAGAAAGAAACATTTTTCATTTAGTGATTAGTTGACAATATTGACAGTATATATGCTATCATGATCGATTAGATACATATCAATTAATCAAAATTTGAATTAAAAATTTACATGTGTGGTATGTAACTAATCATTCGTAATAGTAGTATTATATATGTCCCCAGTGTATAAAAAATTAACCCATAGTTAAATCCTCATAGAACGAATTCTAGTATGCATAATTGCCTTTGTATCACACTTTTTTTTTTTAAAAAAAAAAAAAAAGAAATTTTAGATGCCACTTGGATTGCAATTTTTTTGGAATACCACAAATTGCTCTTACTGGTCCGTGATGTCTGCGCACGAGTACGAGGGTACCAAACAAGCAGCAGGTGTATTTCCAAACCACCAGGGGTTGCATGGGGCCTCACCTTCTTTTTTTTTTTTTTCTTTTCTTTTGGGGTCAAAACTCAACTTTGTGCTACTATATATTAGCAGAGATTAATTACAAGAGAAATTGCGGCTGGCAACTGTCGCAACATAATCGTTGTGTGACTCTTTTCTCGCACCAACAGATCTTCTGTTCCACTTTTTATTTTATTTTTCTCCATATTTTGATTAAATTTTATGTATTACTCAGTTAATAATTATTGAAGTTTAAGAATACAAAAAAGAATCAAAATATGATATTTATGAACAAAAAATAACAATATATAATAAGAAGTGAAATAGGGAATGAAACAGACAGTTAGACAAAAGATCCATGGCGCCGTTTTGCAAGCCAAACAGTGGAAATTTTCCTTCCACTTAGTATCAATAATAAGGTTAGTAAGTAGCAAACTTTGCCAACTTGTGACCAATGGGATTACATTCCCTTTCAATTTTTTTTTTTTTGAAAACGACAACTATTGTATAACCTATCTATCTTAAACTAGAGGGGTACTAGAGGGGAGGGGAGCCTAAAAAGGTTTTTGTGTTAGGGATTAGTAGATACACAGATCTTACTAGATCAAGTGAGTGTTTTGACACAATCCTTGAGTTTTTTTTACTACAGGTATGATTTAAATCCTCACTTACGATCCAAGTAGGGTCTTAAGACCTACCTTGATGGTCACTGAGCTAAGATTACATCCCTTTCAATAAAGGTAAATGAATGAATGGACAAACAAAAGGAGTTGCTCAAAAGCTGGATGTCATCAACTACAACATCTAAAGGAGAAGTACCCGTACGTGCATCCAGCAGTAATCTTATCCACTATCAATTTCCAATCAGAACGGATCAATATTGAGGCCTGCTACTGTTCCTCCATTGCCTTTATCACACTGCTTCACTGATTGGTTCAGCCTCCAGTACATCCCATCAGCATCTCTTTCACTTGGAAATGGTATTGACCATGTCGATGTGAGTTTTCCATTGTGGTCTTTCACTGCTATTTCCAGCCCAAACTTTGTTCTTGTGTGGTTAGGTTGGATGCATGGGGCCTCACTGGCCACACCAAAATGTCCTCAACCTTGAAGTTTCCAGTGCGCAAGAACCAGATACCAGACAGATACCCGGGGTGCATGGGGCCTCACTGATCCCACCAAAATGTGGAATTTATATGCAGAAGATTTATAACTTTTTGTCGTCATAGTTAGAAAATATGTTCCCCCCCTATCTTTCAACTAGATAATTGTTTAAGATTATCCTTTGTTTGTCAGTTTGTTGTCAACGATTGAGTACAATTAGAGGGAGAAACAACCTGACCGTTTGTATTGCTATCTTTTAGGAATTTTTATAAAAAATGTACTGTAACGATTTTATGTACGTGAAAACGCAAAAATTTTTCTACGAAAAATTACAATCCAAACAGATAAGAACACCTCTCACAATTGCATGAAAACAGGCTAATAAAAGCTCAACTTTACCTATATTCTTGTCTTCTCCTTTCTCCATGTGCTTTCAACAACAAACTCATTTGAAAAGTTTTCATAATTTTATTCAATATGTTTATGCCGTCTTAAATTAATATTAGACGGTAGAACGAGATTTACTTATGAGTTGACTCCCATCAAGAATTACTCATAATTTAAGGGTTTGCACGTATTAAATCATTTGCCTAAAGTGGCCCTAATTGAAGCTACTGATCAGACTCACCATTTAAAATAGACTAACCATCAACGACTGGTCCAGTATACTTAAACGGATTTAGTGATTTTTTCTTGGCTATTCTAACTTAACTCTTCTCCACTTTTGAAAACCAGTCCACTGTTGAATTGAAACAAGTTTGTTTTTCCCTTGATGTTTGTTGTTTGAAACTATTAATGTATTAGTTTTTTTTAATGAGATTGCTGAAACCCTTAAATACATAAACAAAAGTTATACAAAAGTTTAAAGTGAACGTAAACAAAAAAGATTGATCAAATCCAATTATCTAACATAATGGACGCTGGGACATGGGAGTTTTCATGAAGAATGGAAATGAAAGGAAAAAGGAATAAAAGAAAAATAAACAGAATAACAAAAAGGAAAGGAACTAAGAAATAGTAGATGTAAACATAATATGTGATTGGGAGGGCATTCTAGTCAGTAAACATTAAATACGGGGTAAAGTGCCCATTTAGAAAGTGGAGGGTGCAAAGTGAAACCAATCCAAAGGTTCATGGTGTTTAATGCAATTAATACCCTACTTTTTTAATAATGTGAAAATAGTAAAACCATCACCATATATTTATGGCAGTGATAATTCGAGAGAAAATAATATTTATAATAACTATATATATATATATATCTGTGTGTGTGTTATCATTTTAGATAATTTAAACAAGTTTCATAAATACGTATCCTAGTGCAATTTTAATTTCTTTATTTAAGTTGTGACTTCAATAGAGACAAGTTTTCGCTTTGTCATTGCTAATATCACAAATGCGTTAAGTGGAGAACGTAAAACTTGTCTACTTTAAGACATGAATTGACTCAGGACACACGGGCAGGAACCTGCAAGGCTGCAACCGTTCTTAGCGGTTTTGTACATTTTGCATAGCGCGTAATTTTGTTTGCACAACGTGTAACTTTAAAACAAATTTTTGTGAGCCCCACACACCTTGTTAAAAATGAGGTACAAGAAGTTATCTGAACCGTATAATTTTTTTGGGCCAAATCCTGGCCGTGAATAGCTCTCAGGAGCCTCATCCATTGACTCACGATAGGTACTCTAATTGGGGTCACTCTAGGAGAAAATATTGTCCATTGAATCCATTTCCCCTCAAAAATGGGTGTGTGTGTGTGCTATCTTTTTAGATAATTTAAATAATTTTCATAAATACGTATCCTAGTGCAATTTCAATTTCTTTATTTAAGTTGTGGCCTCAATAGAAACAAGTTTTAGCTCTGTCATTGCTAAATATCACAAATATGTTAAGTGGGAAAATATAAAACTTGCCTACTTTAAGACATGAATTGACTCAGGATAAGTATTCTAATTGGGGCCACTCTGGGAGAAAATATTGTCCATTGAATCCCTCAAAAATGGTACCAAAGTCCACTGATTCTTCTACTAAAAGTACATATTCAGGTTGAATTTTCATTGCAAAAGAGGACAGACCAACTTGTACTCAAAAATAAAAAATAAGGCAGTTGTGCTTCTCAAGAATAGGACTAAAAAGAATAGGACCAACTTGCTAAAAGTACACTTCTTTCAGTTTTGTGGCCAGGCTTGAAGACAACTATATGATACAGGGTACTATTGGTTGGACTAAAAAGCATCATGCAAAGATGAGGCAGGGTAAATAAGTAACCGCAATGTAACGGATCTTTTGTCTCATTTTTAATGCTATTTTTTATTTTATTTTTTATTATATTATTATTTCTTCTTTATAAATATTATTTTTTTATTTTTTTAAAATCTAATAACTATTAACTGAGTAAAAAATAAATATAATAGTTTCAAAAAAGTAATATATAATAAAAAATTAAAAAATATAGCAGAAAATTCATTAAAAAAATATCAACAATAAGGGGAAGAAGGTTATCACTTGACCAATAAAAGACAAATAACGTATTGGAACATCAATGGCCTTCTTCAACGTCACTAAACAGAAGCAAATAGTAACAATAGTAAATGCTGATATTGTTGGCATAGTTGGAAAGCAACGTACTGGCAGTGGCGGAGGGAGAGGGTGACTACCAAGGCGGTCGCCCTCCCAACTTCCAACAACTTACATTTCTACCTATTAAAATTTATAGATTAATCTTGTCTATGCTAGTCAATCGTGTCACTTAATTTTGATTTGAATTTAAATTTTATTTTTTTTTGTGTATGTGACGTACATTTAAGGATGTTAGTATATATATTGTCAGTGTATATAAAATTAATATTTACATTTTTATAGAATGTGATTTTTATATAATGATTTTTCCTTCTCTTTAAACTTATCTTTGATTGATCTTTTATGGTTACTAGTGTCAGAGAAATGATTCCTTTTTTTAAAAAATTATATGTAGTGTCATAATTTAGATGTAATTTAGGTATAATCTTCGTACTTGTTTTTCCCTTCATCCTAGAAATAATACTTCATCCCTTATTAATCAAGATAGGCTTGCAACTATTATCTTTATTATCCATTATCTTATTAATCAAAATAAAAAAGATTATTGAAAAATGTACTTGTGATGTAATCAAAAATATTTTTACAAATAAACCACTATCCAAACAAATTGAATCTTGTGTTTGGACAAATGAGTATTTTTTCATGGGAGTATTTTGGTCACCAAAAAAAAAGGGACAGAGTCCATTTCAATATTTTAGAGCCCAGTAAGTTTTATTTGTCAGCGCCGAACAGGGAAGGCAATAGGTTAAGCCCAATTCTTTCTCGAACTTCTAAGCCCACTCCAACAAACCCAAAAAACTAAACCCCTTCCCTTCTAATTTCTTAAGCCTCTTCTACCCACCGCTTTCTCCCGCTCCTCTCAATTCCGCCCCCGCCGCAGCCGCCACCTCGTCAGCCGTTACTACCTTGTTTAAGGTCTGTCAAATCCTTTGTAGCCTTTTTTTTTTTGGGTGCCCAGAAATTGTTTCTCTTTTGAGTCTATGTCGTTACTAGAAACAATCATAAAAGCTTCATCCGGCCTGGCTCGGCCGGATTATGAGTCAGAGTACCCTATAGTTCTGAACCCAGACCCCGTTTTCCTGAACCTTAAGCCTGAAAATGAGGACCCAATTGATAGAATACTAGTTAAAAAGGATGATGGTTGGCCGATTGCGCAAAATGATGCTGAAAGAATTGAATTAGGCCGAAATTTCTTCAAGAAGTTGAGAAGAAAGCTGAAGAATGCTAACAGTTTCACTAAAGATGAGTTTTTTGAGATGTTCAATCCATTTTTGGAGAAAAATGGGGAGATATTAGGAATTTCGGCTGAAATTGGAAGGCGGGAGGTAGGTTATAGTGTGAAATTGGTTGAAAAGGTGGGATATTTAATGGGGAGAGATGTGAGGGGCTTAATTTTGGAGGCTTGTATTGTTTTGGAGCTCTGGGATGTTTTGGAGAGTTTGATTGTTAATAAGCTTGTTCTGCATTCCTGTGTTTCTAATTTGGTTAATAATTTGATTGAAAAAAGGAGGTCTGATTTGATTGTGTTGTGCGTTAAGCACATCGGTGACATTCAGACTTACGAAATTATGTGTATTTTGAAGTATTTTTTGTGTCCCTCAAAGGAGGGGTATGAGAGTATGGTTAGTGTGAGGAAGGATTGGGAGAGTCAAGCATTGTTAGCTATTGAAAAGGTTAGTGATAAGAATCTTACTGGGAAGAAATTGAGTGTGGCAAGGGATGCTTCTTTGTTGATTATGGTGGCATATGATGGATTCTCGGTATCAGAATTGTGCTTGCATTATTTGCTAGCGTCAAAGAATGTTGATGATGTGATATTGGCATCTTGTATTAGTAAGTTGAATGGTTTGGAAATGATGAGTTTGATTCAGTATTTGAGCAAGTGGTTGAACAAGTATGAGAGGTTTCCTCAAGTGAGTCCCTGTCCAAAGGCATCTTCATTGTTGGGGCTGAAAGTTTGTGAATGGATTCCAAGTCTTCAAGACGTTGTCAGGTGTCTTGGTTTGGTTATAGATGAGCACTTTTCTTCTTTGGTTCTGCATCCCGAGTTTCATGAGGAGATGAGATCCTTAGGAGGACTGGCTAGTTCTTTAGCTGGCAGAAGCAAGGCTCTGTGGTTCTCTGGCAAATTTGACTGAGAGGTTGAGAACAGATCATAGAGGTATTTATATAGAACTTGTAACTACATTAAAATCTACATATTTTTAGTCTTTATCTCAAGGTTGAGTCTGATTTTGATTTAAGCAAGTCTCTGCCGTGCAAAATGAAATGCTTATCCTTCCATTTCAAGTTCGGCCTCTTTGTTTCTGTCCTTTGGATGATTCATTTTAGGGATGGTTTTTTATACATGTAGAACTATTTCAATGATACTTGTATTACTGATAGCGGTAATAGCAATTTCATACGAGGCTTTCTTGAACTAAGAATATGCTACAATTATGGCTGTTACCTCTTTCTATATGGTTGAGGCAGGGAAATGGGTTCTTGAGATATAATCAAACAAGTTGCTGTCAGTATAGTTCACTTGTTATCAACTAATTATCATCATGGGCCAAAGAAACCCTTTTTTTAATTAAGAAATGTTGTCGTGTTCAATTTGCAACAGGGTCGAACGGGGAATATATGGTTCATTTATGTGTGAGGCCATGCTTTTAGGTTTTTGCACATTGCAGTTTTAGATTGAATGGCACGCGGAAAAATTGACACCAAAGAGACCGAGGGAGAAATTGGGGTCTAATTATTACATACAAATACGTTTTTGATATTTCAAAACTGAAACATTTGTTACTTGTATGCTTGAGTGACTCCAACATCTCAACATTACGGTTTATGTTAAATCCGTATAATGCATGATGAACCATTGTAGTTTGCATATTGAAGAAAAATTTTGGGGCTTAAATAGAAAAATAGTGCCAGTGGCTGTTCTTTGAACCCGAGAAAATATGAGTTCAGTACTGACGAAATGTTTATAGAGTAAGGCAAAATTATTTTTCTTAACGCACTTTTAGCTTCCATATGACTCCTTTTAGAAGTGATGACTAGAAGCAGCAAGCTCTGAGGTCACCAAGAAAAAGTTTTCTGGCCACCTAAACAGGAAGCCTTGTGATTGCAATTGACATTGATATGAGAACTTACTATGAGGTCAAATAGAAAAAGTGCATACTGAATTTGGCACGCACTCAGTTATTGTGTTGATAGAGGAAAAACAGAAAAAGAAGTTGTCACTTCAGCAGAATAGACCTTAGTATTCTTCTCCACCTTCACATGACAACTTTTTGCTCTAGTATAGGATATAATCTTTATACTCTACTGTGGAATTTTTTTCTACTATGTATGGAAATTTTATGAGCTTTCTGTCTGCTGTTTTATCTCTCATGGTTACGACTACCAGATTTAGTGTATATGGCTGTATCATCATCCTTCAGTTAAGTTTTCCCATCGATTTTTGAAGTTTTGGGCAAGTCTCTATAGTATTTTGTTTTTTTAATATTGGTGGTTGTTTTGGTGATTGTCATGCATTTCAGCCTAAATCATGTCCATATGCAAATACAGTGTATGCCATTCGATCATCCCATTCTGTAAATATTGGTTAACTTTCTGCTTTTAAAGATTTGCCAAAACGAAAATTTCCAATTTTTAACTGAATTTTGTAATTTTAGCATATGTCATTTACATCCCAATGCATTTTCTGCAGGCTAAAAAACCGCAGAGGTGTGGAATTGGTTGGCAGATTGAGGGGTCATCTTGCTGCCATATAAGATCATTGTTGTAGCAGGTTGCGGGCCTATAGCATGTTGTAACTTGGGAGTGCAGAAGTTTGATTGAGCTGAACAGTGGACAAAAAGAATTCATGGATGTGCTCTGCTTCAACAATTGATTCAGAATGTTTCCAAGTCACAGGACTTGCAACTCTTTTTCCATTTTATGTATCTCTGACACCAAGAAACAGAAAATAGAAAACAACAAAACCTGAGTTTTTCATCAAATTATGGGCTGCACGCAAAAAACTAGAAATATTGGATTAAGGCGCTACTAAAATGAATTTATATGGAGGAGCAAACAAATGAAGTATTCAAGAACTCCATATGCCTATGGTAAAACTAAACTATAACAATTTATGATTCTTTTTGTTTTTGGTTTCCCCCTCCCTCCCTCTTGACTGCATGTTCAAAGATATACCAATTTAACAAAACTGTTGTTATACTATCTTAGACATTTTCTGAGTAATTTATATGCAAGCATCTCCTAGTGAAAACCTAGAAGTATGAAAAATGGCAATGCTTAATAAGTGAAACAAGAATGATACAACAATTTTGTTTGAAAAAGTGTAATCTGAATACAATCACGAGAGATGTTTGATTATCCAATTTCCTTTCCGTTTTAAGGAGAGGGTGGGGAGAAGGGGTTAAACATATTCTGTACTGAAATATCATCTCCTGTCCTACATTTTAGATTTTTAAATATTTAATGTTCTGTTTTTGTAATATCCAGATCATGCAGTGGTTAAGTATCTCTATGATACTATTGTTAGATAAACATGACAATATTTGAATTTCGGATCAAGAGATTAGTGTTTTAATAAACACAGAGATTAGTGTTATCATTGATTTACCAAAAATGTTATCAAGAAAAATTCCCTTCCATTTTTTCTTTTTAATATACTACTTGAACCCTTTTGCTCCCTTCCCTCCTGATTTTCAAATTGAAGAACCACAAGATAGAAGTCTAATCCCCATCCAACAAGAAGTATTTGATGAGGATGAAATATTTGAATCAGCTCTGCCATGCAAAGCAGGAAACTGCTATAAAATCCCCATGATCCCAAGTACTTTTTTTCACAAGAAACTTTACAAACTCAAAACATCAACCATGAGGATAAAGGAGGGAAAGGTATAGTTCTTTTCAATGAACATCCTGGAGTATTATTAGTCTCTTCTTTCTTCTTATGTAAGAGACAAGGGTTGTGCTCCCTGTTCAATTATCATTAATAAAGTGAGTTCTTTTCTGCATTAATATTTGCTGGTTTTTTCTTTGAATATTGAGATTCATGATCATGTGTTATAGTCATTCTTTTCCTTTGAGAAAATTGTTATTGCCATTAAGGTACTCCCTCCATCCTATTAAAACTATTATATTTTTCATTTTGGGACGCCTTCAAATGTTTGTCGTGAAATTCGAAACTCCTTTTATTCTCTTTTTTCTTTAATCATATGCATGTTGCTATTCAAATTCAAAATTTGAATTTATGGGGATAAAATTGAAAAGAGAAGTATTAGCATCATAATCAAAGTGCTATTCTTAAAAAGTTGCATCCTGGAAACATGACAAATAAATACAATTTTCAAATAAATACAAATAAATTGGGACAGAGGGGTATAAATAGGGATGGCAACGGGGCGGGGTTGGGGCAGGAGACCCCTCCCCCCACCCCGCCCCGCCCCGCTTCACCCCGCTTCCCCGCGGGGCATCCGTGGGGTTAATAAAATTGTCCTCGCGGGGTTAATAAAATTTTATTATAGTTAAATTTTAATAAATAATCAAATACTAAAATATCAACACATCATCAAGTTATTATTCATTGTAATTTTACAATTGAAACTCATAAAAACAATCAAACAAAAGTTATTTGAATACAATCCAACATGATGAAATAAATACAACTAAAATAGTTAAGTTTTCACTTTTGGTACAAATACAATCACTAATTCATTATTGTGTTTGTGTTTTTTTTTGAGAAAAAAGTGTTATTCTAGTAAGTGTAATTAGAAATTTAGTATAAATGTATTAGTAAATTTAGTATAGCTAATTAATAAATTCTATTAGTAGACATGTCTAATTATTCATATAATTGATAATATCAATTATATTACATACATTAATATACATTATATAATACATCTAACTAATAATATCATTATCATAAGTTTATAACTAATTAAATTACATATTATATATATTTATTTATATATATATACACTTTTTTTTTGCGGGTGGCGGGGCGGGGGATGGGGCGGGATACTCCCCGCCCCCCGCCCCGTTTCTAAACGAGGGGAAAAAATTCCCCCCGCCCCGCCCCACTCCCCGCGGACACTCGTCATCATTGCCATCCCTAGGTATAAAGGATAGCTATTCACATAAAAGAATAAAAAGAATAAAAGATTTTGGTATTAGTTGAATTACAAGCCTTTCTTTTACTTTTTGAGTGTACTTTTTCATGTCATTCAAAAGTGTACATCTAATCTCACCCTTTTCCATTGTATGTTGAAGGGGCTCTCTTATCACAATGTAAATATGGGATCCTTCTGCTACGAATTTCTTTCTATTCAGTGATTGTATTTAGTGGGTTTTTTTTGGGTGTATGCATACAAATTTTATTCACTCACGAAGTGCAACAAAGACACATGCTAAGGACATTGGTAATTTGAAATCTTAATTAGTCATTGTTGATAAGCTTTAGCGTTTAACTGAAGATAAGCATCGCCCTCTATGATTTGTGTTACTAAACTGTGATTAACCAATTTAGTTTGCATAGTTGAAGATAAAGTTTGGAGCTCCCATAGTCCATACAGAAGAGTTGCCTATATTATGGGCTCTCCTTTATTTTGATTCAAGAATTAAAACTGAAAGCGAGTTTGTCTACTTAATCTTCAAATAAGGAATTTGATTAACACATTACATACATTAGTAATCAACCAAGCCATCTGAATTTATATGCATTTTTTTGCTCAAAAAAATCTCAGCCTTACAAATTCTGTTTATCGCATGTATTATAGTGTTTACCTTCTAAAAGATGTTTGAATAGCAGCAGATGAGATCCTCTATCCATTATGTCTGTCCATTTTGCTCTCCAATGCAAAACTACGTAGTTCCACTTATTAATACTGCTAAAATTGTAATCTTAATTAGTCATGTTGATTCAGAAAGTAGACGTCCACGTTAAAATTGAATTTGAAACTCATATATCAAACACCCCCTAAATATGCATTCAATGTTATGTGCCATATCAGCAGCATTAGTAAGTGGAACTATGTAGTTTTGTATTGGAGAATAGATAGGTGCATAATAAATGTTTACAAATCTAAGGAAGCTGAAAATGACGAGAAAATATAACAAGAAATTGTAAAAACAAGAAGCTCATGGTTATAGGTTTACCCCATAGGAAAATGGGCAACATTCCAATACAAGGTACCCTGGCAAAAAGAAATACTACAAAACTGAACCCTAAAGAATCAATACAACTACCTATTGCCTAACATCAACAGGCATTCCAAGATTTGGGACGCCTAGAATGCGTTCTGTATGGATTAGAATCTATTGAGTATCAACTGAGTGTCAAATCCAATTAGGAATCAACAGTAAACTTCCTTTTCAACTTTTAAATCATCAGGTGAAGATGGAATGGAAGAAACTTGTTTACAACAAAAGGCAAAAGTTTAACACTAGAAAGTATTTTGAGTCCACAAATTAGAAACCATCTGTAAGGGCAAACACTCGGCCTGCCAAAGGTGGAGCCAGTGAAGAAATTGCATGTTGAATGACCTGATTGACAGAAAAAACTTGATCATCAGATCATGCAAGAGGAAGAAGGGGGAAAAGGAAAAAGAAAGAAGTGAAATAACTACATGAATGTTAATGAAAACAAGTAAATTTGGTGCTGATAATTTGAAATATCACATTTTTGGCATAATGTAGAAACCCAGGAATAATTGTCAAGCTTTAACATGCCAATCGGGTAAGAGAACTCCACTTTAACTCGACTTCCTACTGATCACCAATCAGCCAAAGTTTTTGTTAAAAAAGGGAAAATAGGATTTATCATGCTTGATATGTCAGATTTGTCAACCGAAAGGAGTAAAACATAAGGATATCAATGTTTAAAGAGTCAAATTCCTTTCGGAGATAGAGGACAACTTACATCCAATTGATAGCGAGCCGAAAAGTGGATCAAAAGAATCGCTTTGTTTTCAAACATATCTGCATAGTGAATTATCTGCACAAATATACCAAAGCAACATCATACATCAACTGCAGTAAGGAGATTAGAAGGTAAGAAATGGTGAAAACTCAACCTCTGACAAATGCGTGTGTCCATAATCCCTTGCATCATCCACCGTCATGGTGTCTTCAACATATGTGCTCTTAATAGAAATCAAGGAAAAGGAAACTGTGTCAGAAAAAATTAGTCTCTTAAATAAATACCACAAGGTAAGCAACACATGCTCGTAGATAACAGCTTTCTAACTCCCAAAATCACCACATGCTGCTAATATATAACTGTTTAATAAAGCTTGACTTAAGTTGTTAGTAGCATCAATGCCATGGCTTTGAAGTCCCTTCTGCTGTTTTATCTTTTTGTATTGAATCTCTGTACCACTCATTTTCTATAACAAGCAATCACATGTTAAAAGACTCCCAAAAACTCTGTACAACAAAAACATACAAGTCTCCATCTAAACTAGATAGTCACATAAATGATTTCTTTTTTTTTTTATTTTCTAAGGTTGTTTTAACCGCACAACTACATTAATGTAGTTCTTCCAAAATTTAGGTTGGATATAAACAAGTCTACACAGATCTAATGAAAAATTATGACAGAAAATACCAAAGTGCAGTCACGAGATGATAGGAAAACATAAAATGCATATTATTGTGATTGATAAAGCTCTGCACAATATACATATACATATATATATATAATGCAGCCATTGAGAAGAAGTTTCTAGCCATTATCTCTGCTTTCTTCATGAAAAGAAAAAAGAAAAGAGAGAAACCCCAAAGCCATATCATAGAAAAGGGAAAAAAATAAGGAGGAGAAAAAAATAATAAAAAAAAGAAAGAGAAAAGGCATGACATGGCATGGCTTGGAGATCTTGCACTCGAGTCACAGGATGAACATGACTTGGCAGTTGCCTGGATGCTTGGCAAAACCCAATTATTGGGGTTAATTACCCGATTATTGCAAGTTTTGTTAAATTCTACTGATCATTTTTAAGCCGCCCAAAAGCGCCAGTTACCCTAGCAACTTTACGTCTAACTAAAAATGCTACTCAAAGGTTTAGCTATTACTCTACATACATCCAAGTTCAAAAAACCAAAACTAAACAAAAGAAAAAAAAATGTCAGCTTCAACAATTCAATGATTCTTTTTGACCAAGTCACCTTAAATTGAGCCCCTCATGAAGCCTGCTTTTGGTCTAACCTCACTTTCCTCCTCAAAATCCCATGCAAATTGATTCTTCTGTCTCTTTCCTCCTACAAGAAGACACTTTCATCCCCCAAATCTGTCTATGCATCAGAGGCTCCAAAAGCTTTAAAAAATGTGCACATGGCGGACTAGGACTCCAGTAACATTTAAAAGCCTCAAATTCTCTTCAATGTCAAAATCTATTTTAACTGTGTCCAAGGCAGGGGTTTGGACAACATAAACTTATAAAGATGCTAATCGAAGTAGTTGCTTTGAGCCAGACTCCTTACAGTCACTACTTCAATTAGCATAACCTCTATCTTTCAAAGACTAAAAGAAAATGATTGGTAAAATTTGAAATTAGATAAAAAGTTGCAAATATTCAGGTAACTAATCACTATATTATTTTGCTTGCAATCTAAGATATAAGTTGAATACAAACAAATACGCATACAAGCCAAAACAATTAACAAAATCACATGAAAGGCATGCATAAGCATAACCCAGTACGTCAAGTTAAGTCCACAATTGCAAGTTACTTCTTTCACTATAAATAACAACGATAAAGGACCACAGAGTTCCAGAATATCAGTCACAGTTAGGGTGTCATACTTCCATAATGAGGATCTTTGCTCTTAAAGCATCAATATTGTTGCTATCCACAATGAAGTCTGACGTTGTGTCTCCTGTGAAAGCAACTTCAGGCGTTGTTGTAGTATATGTAATCTGCCAAACGCAACAACAGTCCAGTCATTCTCTCAGCTATTGAGTGAAATAAATAAAAGTTACTGTAGATCAATTTAAATTAATAGGCTCAACCAAACACAGCACCAGATATGCGCAAGGCAATCTAATGAGAAGTATGAGTTATAGTGCTATGAGAACAAATTCTAAAATAATTTAAGCATCAAAGCCCAAGACACACCAAGATTATTCATTTGAAAACCTTCCTCCAACTTGCAAAGAAGAACAATCAAGATTAAAGAAAAGCAATGTATATTTATGCAGGTATTAGCATGCTGCACAACAAGAAAACTAGAGTACAAAAGTGAAGTAAATGCTCAAAAAAGCGACTTCTGTTTGGCAGCCAAGAAGTAATATAGAGTTATCAAGGCACAGACCTCCACACCTGATAACCTCAATTTCTTTATCTCGTTCCCTGGAAGCCCAATATATTCGTCCTTAAGTTTCTGCTTTACTGAATAAACTACATAACCCTATCATTCAGGGTGAGCAGAGGAAGTTAAAGCCTGAAACAGTACTATGGATGATTGTTATAAGGCTCAAGAGAAGACACCTGGCTGGGTATGACGTGGTAAGTCTTAAAGGCTTTTACTTTAAGGTCCTTTCTCAAGTAAAACTCTTCTCCTGCAGAGAAAAGCAATTACATTGAGGTGATCAAATGCAAAAGACTCTACATCCGTCAAAAACACATCTTTTCTAAAATAAATGCACAAATTAATAAATGTATAAATCAAGTGTTAATTAGAAGATAGTTATTACCCACATCCAAGCCAATCAAAGTATGGTTCAATTCTGATTGATCCATATCTCTATGTGCTTGAAAAATCGTTTCAACATTTTCCTTTATGGTCTTTGGCACAATTACAGTTGGGGCTGCCATTCTGTATAATCCACGAGTTGCAACAAACATTGGCAGTCCTCCCTACAAACACCAATACAGGCAGTAAGCACGATATCATAAACAATTTACCCAACTCATGGCTCGCAAACTTAGATCTTACACCTTAGCTCTTCACAAAGCTTAACAAAACTATCAATGCATAACAAGCATGGCACGATATGGCATGAAATTCGGGAATTATCAAAGTAACTAATCAACAGAAACTTAAGCAACCCATCCTGATTTTCCATAAGATTTCCAATGAAGGGCACTGCAAGCAAACATGGATGGTAAAAACTAAATTTCCTTATATAAAATCCAATTTTCTAGTGCATACCCACAATCAAATTCTTTTAAGTCCAGTAAACAATGACATTTTTTTGGTACAACATTCGATAATCAAGAGTACCATTCTCTGCTTCCCAAAGGTTTTCTCTTTTTACAAATTCTCTCTAATCCATCCTACTTGCAAAATATACCGTCAACAAGCATTCCAAGTTCCAACTGAACCACACATCTGCATCTTACCAGCAATCTAGACTCGAAGTAAGAACTGTGAATTCAAAAAGAAAATATTGCAAGTAATCAAACACTAAAAGCACGCACAAAATAAGAGCTCCAGAAACACCATGCAAGTATGATCTTTTTCCATATAAATTACTTAATTTAACGCACCCACCACAAAACACAACTAGAAAGCAATAAAATCAGAAGCCAGATTTTCCCATGTCAATCTAGACTCAAAATAAATCAGTGAATTCACAATGAAACTATATCAAGTAATCAAACACTAAGAACACACAAGCACGGACTCACAATAAGAGCTCAGGAAACACCATAACAATACGACCATTTTCCAGCAAAATTACTTAAATTTAACTCACCCCACCCAATAGCACAACTAAAAAGGCAAAAAATTCAAAACCCAGAGTTTCCCATGTCATGATGGAAGAAATTCACAAATTGCAGCAGAAAAATTGCCATAAAAAAGACGCAAGTAGAAAAGAGTTCAATTGATCACAAGAAGAAAAACTACATACAATGTGATCCATGTGGCCATGGGAGATAAAGAGGAACTGTTGCGAAATAGCACGTTGTGGGCATTTTCCAATGTCAAAAGCTAAGTTGAGAGAAGGGATTATCACGCAGGTCTCATGCCCTGCTATTGATATCCCTTCAATTTGATACCCTTCAATTTCCAATCCCCTCTTTCCTTGCTCCCTTCTTTGGCCACGGCCTTTGCTCTTCTTCTTCTCCTCCTCCATTTTTGGGTTGTAAATTCTACTACAAATTTCTGATTTTCAGCAAATGTTTTTTCTAATTAAGTAGCTACTTCTTAATCCGTATACCAGCAGACAAACAGGAGTGAAGGCAGAGAGGTTTTAGGATGAACTGCTTGCATTCTCCGGGTTTTACCCTTCTTAGCTATTCATTATTCATGAGTTGTCTGCCATGAATGAAAAATAGGTAAATTCCACTTTGTCCCCCTCAAACTATGTGCAGAATCTCACTTCAGTCCCTAAACTTCAGAATTGACAATTAATCCTTATACTACAAAGCTTGCCCTACTTTATTCTAATTTTTGATGGAGTGCACTAAACTTAAAGAAATAGTTGTCAATTTATTATAATTAAAGTCAATCAAATCTAATAGGGACATAAATGTCCTCATCACTCCAACCACCATACCGCCATCTCTATTTCTATTGCAAGTTCTACCTTTCATCATTCTTACACATACCCATATTTTGCTACTCAACTAATTTTTTTGGAATGAAAGTATTTGGAAAAAAAAATCACCCAAATAGAACTCTTCGTGGAATGAATTTGAAATTAGGTCCAATACATTCACAAAATACTATAAATGCAAATTCATTGGAATAAAAATTTATTATGATCACACATTAAAACAGTACTTTCTCATTATAGCCTTATACGTAAGCTTCCCAACAACATAGCACAAGCTTTTCATAAAATCTGCAATAATAAAAAAGGGCATTAATGTCATCCCACTATGTTTTTTCAATAGGGTTACTTTTTTCAATTATTTTGAAAAAGTGTATATTCTAAAATTTAGTAAAATAAAATGTAACTATCCCTAAAATACAGGGGTTCAATTTTGAGAAAGTGTACATTCTAAAAATTTAGTAAAATAAAATGTGACTACCTCTAAAATACAGGGGTTCCATTGCAATTAACCCCAGCGGAAATCATCGTTTTGGTAACCTATACAACTAGGGAAATTAGCGTCTTTTGCTTCCAATACCTAAACCCCTTTACACAACCCGAAAAAGATGGACCCGTCGTGGCACCACCACGCTCCTCCTCCTCCGCCTCCGCTACCAATTGGTGGAGCGCCACCACCTCAGGCGGCAACAATCTGCCCAGTTTGCTCAATGTATCACTTCCCATTCTGCCCTCCTCCACCTCCTCTTCCTCCTTTCTCTCAAAACTTCCATCCCATCCCTCATCAATACCCCCCACCACCACCTCCCCCTGATCAATTTTACCACCCCAGACCCCCTCAGCACCCGCCCCTCTCCCACCCGCCCCCCACCTTCTGCCTACGATCCCTTTGCTGACCACCAATCAGGGCCAGCTGCAAACCCCGTCAGCAGCCGCCTTGGATCCCAAGTTCTGGTTTTGATAAAGACCCAGATGGGAATATGTATGCTAATAGTCATTCCACTTATGCTGGGGCTAAAAGAATGAGGTTTGATGATTCGGGCTTTTCGCCAAGCCCGGCCCACCCGTCTTTGGCTGCTGAGGATGAGAGAAGATTGAAGCTGATTCGCGATCACGGTGGGGCAATGAGTGGGGAGTCCAGAAATTCTGCTACTAATTTAGGGACGAGCAATTCTTTTGATCCTGGTTATTGTGATTATGTCCCAAAATCGAATTTTGGGCATGATAGTGATCGTAGTAGTTTGCATCAGAATAATGTGTATGAATATAGTAGACGTAGTTTGAATAGCATAGAGCAGCTCAGACAAAGTCAAGAAAGAATGGGCTTCAATCGGCATGGTGTATCAGGGGATCAATATGGTAATTTGCCGAACCAAAACGGGCAGAATATTGGGCTGACTCAGAATTATAGGGTGTTTAGTAGCCAGCCTCCACTTCCAGCCTCTCCACCTCCACCTCTTCCTGTGGATCCCCCAGGGCAGCATATGGTGCGGCCTGTTGTCTCGTCTTCACCGTCTGGTACATCTGCTTCTTTGTTCCGGTTGCTCGAGGTTCTTCTTCAACCGCCGTTCAGTCGTCCTCATATCATCCTGTTCCAGAATCAAGTTTGTTGGCATCGCATCAACCCATTAGAGGCAATCTCCATGCTTCGACCAGCTTTGGTCCTGAGGTATGCTGCAAAATGCTAAGGCGTGTTAATCATATGTGTTAATGCAGTCATACTTATAAAATTTTCAAGAATGTGTTTTTGATGCCTTTTGGTCAAAGCAAACACTATTGGACGAAGTGGAGATCAATAAATAGGAAGCATTAATGTCTTATTGCTGATCTCTAATAAGGAGTTGAGAGTGTTGTCTTTGTAGCCTGGCAACATCTAGCATGTTGGTTATCAGTCTCTTCATTTGTAGGACACGGACCAGTTTGACACACATAATACGCTTTCATTTTCTGGAAATATAGCGAGGTTGGGGTGGTGAGGATGTTTTCTGAGAAAAGCATTATTTTAGCGAACCCAATGAATTTATCTGCAAACCTGGTTACATTAGTAAACTAGTTTATGCTACCAAATGTTGGACCTGAATAGAGTATGTGACACTCAATAATATCTTACCAGTCACATTTCACTAACTTGTAAAAGTATTCTTATTACCAAATTTTGGACCTCAAGTGGGGTAACTGTCTCTGCAATATCTTGCTAGTCACCCGCCACTACCTCCTGGCAACATTCTTATGCTGTAAACTAAGTCATTGTTCATTTGAAACAGTTGAAATCTACAAAATAGTTTAAATATGTTTCTCATTTTAAACGTCATCACACTTTCTTGTGATGTTATTATGTTTTAGCTGGGAGGGTGATCACAGCTGCACTATTTTCTTTCATTTTGTAAATGTGTCTTAACAGATGCTTGTGTGGCACACATACACACACTCTCCTGTGGAATTGTTCTATTACATAATTTTTTTAATGTTGTTTCAGAACCTCCGAGACATTTAAAGCCAATTTTCAAGCTTAATTTCTTTCTCAAGAATATCACTGTTTTACTTCTATCTTGTTTCCTTTTTCTGAGATATAGTATCAATTCCGGTGAGTTGTATCTGGATTTTCATGCTTCTTAGTGCATTGTAATTACATTCCGGCTTGTTATTGAGATGATGGTAAGTGAAAAACATGGAGTGTACTGGACTACCTTTTCTTGATAGAGGTTCTGTGACTTGAACTAGCTTTCTCATATGGGAGCAAAGAAATTTCACCGGCTGCTAGCTTTCCTTTCTCACAAGGGATTCAGGAGAGCACTATTAGGTGTCTGATTTGAAATGAGAATCTTTTACATAGTATACTTGGTCATTTTACTATTGTAAATTTTTCGTGTTTTTCATTGATTTTCTCTTTTCTTTGTGTATCTCCTCTTGCTTGTCGGTCAGAGATCTTATAGTTACCGTGATTGTCAGGATTTACAAGGTATACGACAAGCGCATATAAAGCATACTTTGGAAGAAGTGAAGTAATTCCGCAGCAGCCTCTATCACCTAACAAACCTAAAGTTGTTGATGCCACTCACATAATAAAGCAACCCATCGGGTGAATCGTCCCGATCACATTGTCATTATTCTTCGTGGTCTTCCAGGTTTCTCCCCTTCCCTTTCCTTCTTATAAAGATACGTGCTCCTTTGCCCATCTGCTAAAGGTTTTGAGTACATCATCCTCAAAGATAGGGATTGTTGACTCAAATGAAATCATACGAGGCCAAAAGTTACTATTTGCTACATAAAACATTTGAATTGAACTATCTTTCTTCAACCAGCTTTTTATCTTCTTGTAAAGAGTAAATAATTAATGTTAGGAAAACTGACTGTATTCAGGAATAAATCAAGGATGTACATTTTTTACTTGTATTTTGTGCTAATAACTCAAATTTCACAAACAGCATGCCTGCTTTATATGTAGCATTCTATGAGAGAAATTGGAACTTTTTGCTGTGAAGCATGGTATGCTATCTGAAACCTAACAGCAATTAATATATTTTTAGGTAGTGGGAAGAGCTACCTGGCAAAAATGTTGCGTGACCTAGAGGTTGAAAATGGTGGTAATGTGCCACGGATACATTCCATGGATGATTATTTCATGACTGAAGTTGAAAAGGTTTTCATGAACTCTTCATTTTATTATTCTTTCTACAGTACTGTCTAAAGCTTACTGGATCCATATCTCTATTTTTGTTTATCTTTTTATTGCTCAAATTTTACTTTTCTTTGTGCTTGTTTCTCGAAAATGTCTATAGTAACTACATGAAATTCCACAGGTTGAAGAGAGTGAGTTTCCGAAGCCATCTGGTTCTGCTAGAGGGAAAACTTTCACTGATGTGATTTATTGCTTATTTGCATACTTGAACTGAACGGTTATGCTTATGTGATCTTAGCTGCTATGGTGGTTGTATTCTCACTGGGCATATAGTTCACCCCGTTTCTTTTGTTTTCCTTACAGTAATATGACTTTTTTGGAATGAATTTTATTAAATGGTTGCCGAATGAACTAGATGAATGCCTCTTTTGTATTGTATATAAAATGGGACCCTAAATGTTTCATTAGGGCCGTTTTCACTTTTGTTTTGGCAACCCACATATGTAGTGACTTTTGTATCACTTTTAAAGGCCATTGTGGCTTGTAAATGGTTAATGTTATGTTGTATATGTTTTCGAGGTTTGGTTGGGTTTCGGACGGGTCGGTTACTATTCATGGCCGACTCTGGATTTCGTTTCTTTTATTTTGGGTTATTTTGCCCTTTTGCCTTGTTGCGCGCATTATAAGTTTCAAAACGTGATAGATCGCTTTGTACTGCACCGTTAGTCCTGGCGAGAGCTGGGCAGGCAGTCCGCTAACCCCTTTGGTTCGCCTTAGGGGAAGGTGGGGCTGTTACAAGTGGTATCAGAGCCACGTCGAGTGGTCTCTGCGCGGAGTGAGACTGGGCCAAGTGGTGTTGTGGTCTTAATTTCATGGATATGTCTAAGTGCTCGTTTGAGCGTAAGTTATGAACCGGGCATGTGATAAGTGTACGAATCGTTATCATGGGACTCGAGGAAGCTAGGTGTGTATGTCGGGTAGGAATCTTTAATAAGGATGGTTTACTCTTGGGACCGGCCGACTCGAGATGTGAATTATCTTAGACGAGATTCTTGTGCCCGGATACGAAAGATATGAGGGCCTAGGTTAGAAAGGATTTGGTGAACTAGAAAGGCAATTCTATGGAACTTCGTGTGGTTTGTTCGGGTGGTTAAGCGTGATCGACCTTGATTAAGATATAAATATTTGGACGAAGCCCTGGAAGGGGAAAAGCTTTTCGTGAGTTCTTTTGCACTTGTGACCTAGTTGTTTATAGTACTTTCTGAGGACCCTATTGTTTCATGGAATGACTTCGTATGTACTTGACTGACTGTTCCGTATAATTGCTTAACCTGGTTATGCGATCTATGTATACGTGTTATGTGTTTAAATGCTCTTCGCAGTAAATGTTTGAGTTGCTTATTCTTGTTTCATTGTTCCTGTCTGGTGCTACGGAAAGGAGGGTTAGGTGCCCTTTAACAGTGTAATTATCTGATGACCTAGATTGACTTAGACTGATGGAAGGCACCCGAAGTGGTCGAGGCCATGGACGCAGGGGTAGGCAACCCACACCGGTTAGGGGTACGGGGGAAACCTCTACTGGGCCCAATCCTGAATCACAAGCCGACCCCACTGTTCAAATAGCTGCTGCTATGCAGCAAATGACAAACCTACTCGCACAAGTAGTGCAACAACAGGGCCAGAACCCAAACCCTAATCCCGGAAACCCCGGTAACCCTATCGAGAGCGAGGATAGAGCTCTCGAACATTTCCAAAAGTTCGCTCCGCCAAAGTTTGTTGGGGGACCCGACCCAGACGTTGCCGAAAGATGGCTTGAAAAGATGGTGGATATATTTGCAGCCCTACACTACCCTGACGCAGGTGACTTTTGCCGCGTTTCAGCTCGAGGGGGCAGCCCGTTCCTGGTGGAACGTAATCAGACAGAAATGGGAGCGGGAGCAGACGCCTAGGACTTGGGTGAACTTCATCCGAGAATTTAATGCCAAGTTTTTCCCTCCTCTAGTCCAGGAGAGGAAGGAGGATGAGTTTATCCGGCTCCGGCAAGGGGCTCAGACTGTGGCAGAATATGAGAGTCAATTTACCCGCCTGTCCAAGTTTGCGCCTGAACTAATCATGACTGAGCAACGACGGGTTAGGCGCTTCATTCAGGGTTTGAACGTTGAGATCCAGAAAGACCTCGCGGCGGCTCAAATCACTACGTTTAGCGAGGCAATGGAAAAAGCCCAACGAGTTGAAAGTGCACGAATGCAGGTCCGAAACTTCCAGGCTAAGAAGCGTGAATTTCCTGGAAGTAGTTCGGGGCAAGGGGATGAAAGTACCCCTCCCAAGTTTGGACGAGGAACGGGAGGAGTAAGGATGCCGGGAGTGTCACCGGAGAGGCCGTCAAGAGGAGGCTTGGCTTCTACAGCACGCGGACCCTGCGGGTATTGCGGAAAATTAAACCACTCGGAGGATAACTGCTGGAGGAAAGGAGGAAAATGCTTGCTCTGTGGGAGTGCCGACCATCAAATTGCTAACTGTCCAGCTAGCCTGCGCGAGCGGCAAGGGACTCTGCCACCAACCACGACCCACCCTGACCAGTCGAAGGGAGACAAGGATAGATCGAAAGTGTCCTCTCGGGTGTACTCCTTAGAACAACATCAAGGCTTTGACCCCTTAGAGGACGTGGAAGGTAATAATTTACTGAACCTGGCCAGTGAAGGGGTACCGATCTGTTAGCTAAGTATAATGCTCAACTTAATCCTGGTGTAGTCAATGATAAGGAATTTTGAGGACGAAATTCTTTTAAGGGGGAGAGAGTGAGAACCCGTAAAACCCTAATATTTTTTCTAGGGTTTTAGTTCCCTTAATTGCTTAATTTTTGCATTTTCTGGCTTTGAAATATTTTTCTGGTAGATTTTATGCGTAATTATAGTTTTTAGATGATTTTTCTAGTATTGGTAAGTTTTTAGAAAATTAAGAATATATATTGGACGTGGGACCCACTAGTGCGAAAAGTTCGGGAAAATTCGGCCAATAAGGTTAAGTTTCGGATACTGTGTAAAATTTATCGGATGTTAATAGATAAGTAGAGTGTGTGAAATGATTGATGTGAGAGAGGAAAGAAAGGATAGGAATGCATTAATGAGAGTGACAAGTGTCACTTTCTCATTGGGTGAATTTTAAGATTTACTATTCCAATTTTTGACTTTTTTGACCAAAGGATTAAATATCCAAAAATTGCCCAAAAATCACCATTTTTCACTCTTGGATGGCCGGCCCTCTTGTGCTAAGGAAGGAAGAAAACTTCTTCAATTTTCAAGTCCCAACTAGCTCAAATCACCCAAAAAAACTTGCTTCCATCTATTTTTACTCCATAAAATCTCTTTAGTTGATGTTAGTGAGTGTTGTAGTGAAGCTTGTTTGAAGGTTTAAGGTGTCCAACATCCTCCTCTCTCTTGTTTCTTGGTAAGTGAAGCTTGAACACCCTCTTACACCTTATGAAGCCTAAGTTATGCTTATTCGTGATTAAGGTGCTGAAATTTCTGGTTTTTATCTTGGTTTGAAGTGATTTGGTGAAGTTTTCCATTTTATGATGAATTTTCTGGTTCAATATGAATGGGATGTTGAGGCTATCTTGGATGATTGGCAATGGACTATAATGACTCTTGTAGGTGTGAATTGTTGCTAAATGCAACCAATTTTGGATTTGGTGTGAAAATTGAAAAGTTAGGGTTCATAAATCCCTAATTCTGTCCGGTTTTAGATCATAGGGTTAGAGGCCGAATTTGACTTTACTCAAAACATGAAAGTTGTAGGTATTGATGTGTTTGAGGTGCCTGTAAAATTTCAGGTCATTTGGATTAATGTAGAATGAGATATGACGAAATTACTGTAGCTGTTCTGCTTTGGACAGAATGCGAAAACTGCGTTTGTATTTGGCCATTTTGACTGGAATTGGTTTGGATTTTGAAGTTGGTGTCTTCTGATGAAATGTAGCTGGATGTCTTAGCTATCATATGCCTTTGGAATTTCGGCATTTGGACTTGTATGGACTGAGTTATACGGATTACAGTTTTGTGTGATTTGCAAATCTGTTTTGGTCATTCTGGTTTAGTATTTGGCATTTTTGACCTAGTTAAGCTAGGAACTGGATTGAGTGACCTTCTACATTGTTGTAGCCCTGTTTCATAGCTTCGAAACGGTGGATCTTACACCCCCATCTGATAACCGTAGTGAAATTAACGCCATTACCGCAAAGTAAGGACAAAACAGTTTTATTTCAGGGCCAAGGCTAATGCCATTGTTTGAATTTCTGGTTTGCTATAATGCTTGTATATGCATATGAAACCCTATTGGGGTTGTGTTCAGCATTGTTATGTGACTCGTCATCGAGTCTCATTGCATTTGTTTACGTGTTCTAGGGCGTGACGGTGGTTCACGACATTCTCCTGACGGAAGTGCATGAAATAGCACTTAATTGATTGGTGAGTATACTACTCACTTAAATGTTATTATGTGGCTTTGCTAAATGTATATGTGATGCCTTGAAGGCTTACTTGGATATTGGAATTGATTAAGGTGAGGGTGTACTTGACCGCCCTCACCCCTTTTGATAGTATCACTGATTGTCCACTGTTTCACTGTCTTACTAAACTTGATATATGAGTTATTGCAATTCATTTTATGGAAACTGATTTGGTGTTGTTTGGACGATGTCCAACGACCTTACTGTATTACTGAGCTCAACCCCGTTTGGTAGTCAATTGGATCGAGCCGGCGAGGGCTTGGTCGTGAAGATTGAATTGCCACGGGGACTGTACTGGGGAACCTTGTGGTATTGAGACCCTTGGTTCCGGTATACTCGAGTATTACCAAAAGCTACTGAATTGGAGTGCGGGCCCGGTTGGGGAATGTTGGATGGAAGGAATGGAAGTAAAGAGTTGTCTACGGTTGGTTATTATTTAACATTGACGGAGGGTCAATGAGGTTGGATCAAGACATAAGCGTGGAAATGGGCTCTTGAGAGCCGTCCGTATCCTTTCACTGATGTGATTTATTGCTTATTTGCATACTTGAACTGAACGGTTATGCTTATGTGATCTTAGCTGCTATGGTGGTTGTATTCTCACTGGGCATATAGTTCACCCCGTTTCTTTTGTTTTCCTTACAGGAATATGACTTTTTTGGAATGAATTTTATTAAATGGTTGCCGAATGAACTAGATGAATGCCTCTTTTGTATTGTATAT